CCCCCCCCCCCCCCCCCCCCCCCCCCCCCCCCCGATGGGCCAAGGTGAGTTACATAACAGACACTCTGTCTGTTTTCAGGGACTGTGCACTAAAATGCACAGTCCCCAGCTGGGGAAACGTAGGGGGGCATAGTGACCTCACCCCCCTGAAATCCAAACATTCAGACAAGTTAACTGGCACCTTACTGTGTGACAGACCTCCAGCCCCACTGTGACCTAGTACTAGATAGAGGGCTGGAAAATGGATGGACACGTTAATGCATGATCAGAAACAAAAAACTGAATATACTAAACATTTCTGCTTTATAAATGCTGCTTTTCCTGAATATTCTCATACTGACTTTATTAACATGTGACCTACGTGTAAGTATATACATGTAAATATCAGGGTACCCCTGTCTGGCTGTGGTGCAGCCTGGGACCTTTGCACAAACCCTCAGCAGATGTGCCAAGGCAAGACAGAAACTTCTCTGCAGAGATAGAAAGTCAGCAGACTGGGGAAGGCAGTGGACCAGATGTACATACCTGTCATAAACTCTGCATTCTTCTTGTAGTGAGTGATGACGAGGTAGGAAAGAATGTAGAGACAAACGAAGAAGAGCACAAAGATCTGAGGAAAAAGAGGTGGCTATGTTACAAATAATTGCAATAAAATGAATTACCATAGCAAAATAGTGTGTGTGGGGAGCTATGCTGGCATAGCGATTAGAATTGCTGCCTCACATCTCTAGGACCAGTGGTCAAGTCTCTGGCCTGGCTGTGTGTGTGGAATTTGTGCATTTTCCCCACGTCATCGTGGGGCTTCCTCTGGGGCTTCCCCCTCCCACCCAGTCCAAAAACAAGGCAAACTGAGCTACCAAGTTGCAGGTAGGTGTGAATGTGTGTGCCCTGCAATGGGTTGGTGCCCCACCCTGAGTTACTCCTTGCCTTGTGCCCTTAGATTCCAGGATAGACTCTAGATCCCTGTGACTTTGCACATTTTGGAGATATTGGCTGTAGAAAAGTCGGGCATCTCTCGAATATAATGGGAGTGAACGGCATTCTTTCTGGGGTGATTAAAGTGGCAGAAAAATACATTTGAAAAATCCAACAGCCATGACTCTTAGCAGAAATCATGACCCAGTTATCGAAGGTAACCCACAGATGTTTTAGTAAGCAGTTTAATGCACAAACTATTTTCTTTGACCGAATTCTACACACCAGTCGTACCACTGCACAAGACGATACGCACATGAGCACATGACACGGAAATTATAACAGAAAAGTGACAATTTATTCATCCTCGTGGGGAAATTCTCTTTTCACTTATCCCATCCTGCTTAATTTTGTGATTCCTTTCAAACAGACTAACAACATTCCGTAAGTATACATACCTCAAAGATTTATACTGGGTACTTACTGGGATTACACAGCACACAACCCCACGGCTAAGTGTCTGCCTAATTAACTTCAGCCATAAATCCCTCCTCTGCTGATGCCATCTCTGTCCATGCCAACTACAAGGAGAAAGCACCTCTAAAACAAATCATCGTTTTACTGACTAATGTCTTTCTTCGTCCTTTATCCAGTGAAGCTGCTTTTAAGACTAAGGTCAAGTAGGGGCTCCTTTTTAAAAGCCCTCATTTGTTCATCGCATGGGAAGCCCGGCACAGTGAGTGAATGAGTGAGTGAGGAAGCAGAAATGGAACATCATGTTCACTCCAGATAGGCTTTCAGCTGGGGATTAGGGTTCAGGCATGTGTTTCAAGTACACAAACCTTGGCCTGACGTAAAAAAAGCAGGGAGGGGGGCACAGAGGGACTGGGGAGGATGAGCCAGTACCCTAAATAAAGTGGTTCTCTGCATCCAAGCCAACATGGCAGACTGCCGGCCCATCCGGGCGAGGTGCCAGGAACAATGTCCCGTCATATCTCAGGCAAAGTAGGTGCTGCACACCAGTGTGGTCCAGCACAAGGATAACTGGGGGCAGAATACACATTTTCACTCCCCCGCAGGCCACAGTTGGTACAGTCTTGTTCGCAAAAGGAAGGTGGGATTCAGACCATGGTGCTGGATGGTACAAACCACGTTCAGCTTTAGCAGTGAAGCACTGAGGAATAAATCCACACAGTAAGAAACTACCCAGTCAGAAAAAGAGCGTCTGTCTTAATGCAGAGATGGTGTGAGGAGCAGAGAGCAAGGCGAAATCTAACTGCCTGTCTGGCCATATCTGACTCCTGTGGCACCTTCACATTGCCACTTGATCACAATGGATGGTGTGGAACAGACCAGGAACCCAGGGCGTCTCGCTAATCCATTCATAACTCCGGCGGCTTTTCCCCCCGTCCTCATGACATCACTGAAAGGCACCTTCTCTGTTTACTGCTCTGTCATTTGGAATTTTTTTTGTGAAGTACACTGGAAGACATACATCCTTGTTCTGCGCAGATGGGCAGACCTGGTGGATGATAAGCGTAAAGAGAGCGCCGATAATTGTAGGAAAAGCTTGGATATGTATGTCAGAGCCACACGACAAAGGTGGCGAGTCGAGCTCAACTGACACATCATTCGAGCAATATAATTGGTCAGTATTGTGGTTCCGCAAACTTACTGGCATCTGTGCAAAACCCTCCAATAATGCCCCCTTAATGTGCCTTTAAACATTCATGATGTAAAACGTAGCTCTCTCACTGAAGAGGATGCTAAGGAGTTATGCTCTCTGCATAATAACATAACAATACAAGTCCTAACTTACTAGTTTGTTTAGCCAAAATTTCTAGTGACAGGTTATAATGTTACTTAAAGTCATCATTTTTATTTTTATATTGGGAATTTGAGTCTTGGCTCTTTGATCAAGTTTGAGAAATTGACATAATCGTACCAGTCAGTAAAACGCTGATAGCATCCATTTAATTTTTAATCATGTAAATTGTAACGCCTGAAATATTACCCTAAGCTCTGTTTTGGGGACAGCATTTCCACATTGGTGGGTTCATATACAAAATTACACAATGTCTCCGAATTGCCTGGTGCTGATATAACTATTGACTTCATAGTACTCGACTTCTTCCAAACTCCGAATCTCCAATGTTTAAACTTCTTCACACAGCTGCCCACACCAAGAAAAATACCAAACTTTTGGTAGCACTTAAATATCCACCAGCTAACAAATTATTCACCCCTAACCCTGTAAGGTTACATGACTATACAAGACAAAAGATCATCTATTAAAATTCAGGTCAGGAGCACACGTAATTCCAATTCACAGTCTGAAACACGTCACACTGGTCCAATCTCGATGAATATGCTGATTTCATAATATATTATGGTATATTCATTTTAGTAAACGATCTACTGAAAACTACAAACTTCGCCCCCCTTATAACCAAATCATATCCAGCATCCCTTCATTCTAATCCAGCTTTTTATACACATATACATTTTTGGGGCAGAGAGTCAATTTCAGAAAATCAGTTTACATTTTGACCTCCTGAGACCCCACCCATTCATTTATGTCCATTGTAGTGGACATTTTGTTTTTGCATCTATCTTTTCACTGATGTAAGGAAACATATTTATTCCTGTTGTACACTAAAGAGGACATGCTGTGATATTAAAAATAAATTTGAAAAAAGATGTCTTATTTCCTCCAAAGACATAGAATATCACAATTAACCTAAAACTGAAGGACACTTTTTCCTTGGGTCTCAGGAGGCTGTCAGAAGGCTGTCAGGAGGCTGTCAGAAGGTCCCAGCTGAAGCACCCTTCTACTCCACTGGACGCCGTATTGATGACACAAGCCGACGCTCCTCTGCATCTGAACACAGGGGTGTGTGAAGCGGCGCCCTTATTGACAATTGGCACCTGCTGCATCACCGGCGTGTGTGTCAGGGAATGCGAATGCATGCAGAACTGAAACAGGCTCAGCAGGGAAATAAAGAGGAACTGAAATGCATTGTGGCAGAAACAAAACCGCACTGGATGATACACCAATTCCCCTTTTTTGCATGTTTTGTAGGTTCTGTTCAGTCATCTGAGCAAAACTTTGGTTAAAAACAAAAGAGCTTCAGCCTTTCATTTCAGTACTTTCATTTGACACTGATTAACCGGTTAAATGAACCAGTCTTTTGGAAAACTGAGGAAGAGGAGAGAAGAGGACATTCTCTCATGATTCTTGTTTCCTATCACTAGTTAAACATTTGGGAATACCAGCATGACTAAACTTGATTAGCTCCACCCAATATCCTCGTTTGGATCTTAAGGTCGTTAGCTGGCTAAAAACGTGGGCATCAACCCCCTGGAAACCTGCCAGCCAAAGGGTGGTTTGGAACAAGGTGGGCATAGTATATGATCCCTCCGCCATCCCTCAGAAAGAGAGCTAGGTAGTAAGGCTCCACCCTCGAGTGCTTTCTGTTCTAGAAGAGTCAAAGGTGGATCTTCAGGCAGTTACAGACAGAACCTCCCAGAATCTCACCAAAGGCAAATAAACTCTGCCCTCATGAGTCACTTAGCCTAAACAAACAGGCTATCTGCTCAACGCTATTATTATTCTCTTCTGAATGCTGCATGCTTGCTTTTTTTGGCACCTGACAGCTCACTGCTCAAATGTTTAAGTGACTCTTCATCTGGACGCTATCTGCAGGTCACTGTCCTATATGGTCCCTTAATTTTCTGTTTATCATGTGATGTGGTCCATTGTACACCATGACATGAGATGCAACTGAATTTCCATAAAAATGAAAGAGTTACTTTCCACATTCCTGCTCAGCATGCCAGTTGAGATTCATGTGGCTGAGACCGAATTTATTTAGCATAGCTTTGCAAGCTAACATGGTATGAAATACATCAACGATCAACTCTATTCGAACCACCAACAGTGAAACTGTAACTTCCGGTAACGTGTGTGTGTGTGTGTGTGTATATATATATTTTATATATATATATATATATATATACTGTATATATGTGTGACCCTCAAGTAACATCGTAACATACGTATTTCTTCATATGGTGACACATAAAATGAGCAAAAGGGTAAGGCGATACGATGCATTTCAACGCACCAGCTAGATAAGGTGGACGGATGGATTGGGAAGGTATTCACCAAAGCCCTCCGAGCGCAGGTGACGCGTTAAGAGCTACACCAGAAGTAGAATAGTTAGTTTACAAGGTAACTTCAGAGATCCGATTACTTACTATGGTCTCTCGAACACGGTCGTGGAAGAGCTGCTCTCTAACCGACACGTCGTCCGCTTCCATCCTCCGACAGCATGTTCCGTCTGCGGACGCCTTCAAGGAATCACAATCATCACAGCCCCGGCATCCTGATACGCCCGTCGGGGCTTTGAGCGGCTCGTACAGTCCGAGGCTTCAATTCACTTCCAACCTATAAGGTCTTTGCTGTAGATGCCCACTAACACATGGCAACCCCGCACTTTTACTAAACAGACACCATGGTGCCCGAAAAGACTTATTTAAAGTGCGGGGCGTGTCTAGGGGCGGGGATAGGGGGCGTGGCCCCGGAACTCGAGGGAAGCGAAGACACAGCAATGGGCTTCTATGTAAGTAAATACTTTCACTTACTTGAAAATATATACAAATTGTAACTATAACGAAGGTGATCGAACCGTATATATGTATATACGTGTTAAATGTCTAGAGAGATTAGTCTGCGGTAGAAGTAGAAATATATTAAAGCAAAACCGACTCCGAATCTTTTTGGCATCATCTAATTCAAATGTAGGGTCTACGTTCGTATTCAGAAGGTCCTAATGGTTTGTGTCTTGCATGTGTTAAGATCCTCTTCATGATGTATCTACCCTTACTAAGACAAGTTTTCTGAATCAGGACGATATGCTGACGAAAGATCGCCTACGATGGAAGAAGAATTCATTTTCTCCTTCTCAGGTAAAAACCTCCTCTAAGAGTAAAATCAAAGTTCAGGGAGCATTAACATCGTTGTATTTCAGTTCAGTTTTACGTTTCACCCTTCTTAACACAGCTGCCTCCCAGTACTTATATATCTGTCAGTCTCGCTGTACATTTTCGTCCAAACCAACCTGCCCATCTAAAGTAGCTAACGCAGTCGTAACAGACAGCCCTTCCCTAGATTTGAGTTGACTTGTTTTGTTTACATTCGACCATACTCTAGTCTTCATACTCTGTTCCTTTACTTTTCTTTAAAATTTCTTAAAATCTTAATGTTCTGCTATATGTGTAATGTCATTAGAATATCGACAGAATTATTGTTGATGTTTTTTCCCCCAATAATCTAAACTCCACGTTGTCTTCTAGCTCAGCTTCTCTCGCTATAGGTCTATGTGTTCTGTGTACAGGTGAATAGTTTGGGGTGATAGCATGCAATCTGGTTAACTTTAATCTGAAACCTGATATTTTATCTTCATTCCAACCGTACTGGTGCTTCTTTATTAAGTCAAGAGATTCTTCGCAAGGACAATGAGATGCTCTGGCACATTCATTTTCTTTGGAACCATTTTGATATTTTTAGGGGTCCAAGTAGCGTAAGTGATGGAACCCTATTATTCAAGATTCAAGAAACTTTATTGTCATTCCACACATGTTCGCACATGCCGAGCGAAATTAAGTACTCAGGTCACGGATAAGCCATAGAGCTAGTCACAAACACTTATAAAGATAAAAATTAAATATAAAGGTATTGTAGTATAAAGTATGGAATATAAATTAGCAGTATGTACAGTGTCCGATGCGCAGAAGCAGACATATAATGGATGCTTGGATTATTGATGTATTCATCTTGAATTTTCAACTAGGCATTAAATTCCATATTTTATTGCATTGGATACAAGATAGGGGTGTCACAGGTTCAATGACCAGAAGTATTATCTCGCAGTGGTGCAGTGGTTAGCACTGTTACATCCCACTGCTGGGAGCAGCGTTCGAATCTCCAGGTCTCCACCATGGCTTCATAGTGGAGTCTGCATGTTCTTCCTGTGGCGTTGTGGGGTTTCCTCTGGGTGCTCCGACTTCCACACATAGTTGTTACATTGCTCATGAGTGTGCCCTGTAATGGGTTGGCGCCCCAGCCTGGGTTGCTCCTTGCCGTGCACCCCCACCGGCCCTGAATAGGACAAGCGGTTTCAGGAAATGGATGGGTGGTATTGTTCACCATACGCTGCCACCGTGTGGTGAATGAGGTTGAAACGCCACACTCTTTCGGAGATAAGCATCTTATTTAAGAAAAACACAAAAATAATAAACCAAATTTAGAAAAACAAAAAAACGCAGTGTGAATAGAGATAGAAGGTATTAACCTTTACGTATATATTTCAGGGATTCTACCAAGCACCAAACTGTAGCAATGTTTATTCATGTATCAAAAAATACATTCTTGGACATTTATCATCTTTAGAGGGACTACTACAACTGCTGCTATGATGATGGTAGTGGTGGCGGTGGTGATGATGATGAATATTATTATTATTATTATTATTATTATTATTATTATGTTGCTTAGCTGAGGATTTTCATTTTATTCAAATCGCTTGGTATTTGTGAAGCCATTCATGTCAGCTAATTACCTTGCATATTTAACTAACATTTATTTGTGACTTTATAGTTCATAAAATTTAAGTTAATTTCATTAAACATCGTTTTCACTTTTGGAACAGCGGGACATTTAACGGGATCTGTTAAATTTTAACGAAAAGGAAGATGTCCTTAATAGCTGATATGGTCTTATTTTTCATAAACCAGACTCGGTTATTCCTAAATCCGACTGATCTAGAATCATTTTCAGCGAGATACACACTGAAAAAGGTAGATTCTCAGCAGCTTCTGCATGCTGGAATAGACGCGCTTACTTGGAATACTGGCCGGACCCTTTATATATAATACGTTTATAAGCGTGTAAATATTCAGTTACGTGACCAAAACACTGAGTGTTTATGTTTGTGGGTAAACTTTGAAATGTTATTACAGATTTTTATGCATTTTTCTGTGTTGTGTACCAATTGAAGTAGAACTGTGCGTAATATTGTTTCTTCCAACTTGGAGTATTCCAAAAAAGATTTTAAGTTTTAACTAAATATTGGAATAGTTTGCATTAATGTGGTTGTTTTTGCGTTGCTCAGAATCTGTGAAATTGAGTTTACAACGCAAAACGTCTCAGAAGAAATGTATAATGACTAATATTCTAAAAATGTAATATGTTATTACTGAATGCAATAATAAAAATATTGTACATTATATGTTTATGAGGGATCCCGGAGAAAAGCATATGCTATAGGCTACGGTCTTATAATAACATGAATTTCCGTGTGGTGGAGAAAAAGAAATTAAACATAAAAAGCTTCATTTGGGTAAAACGATATCATGGATGGCATTTAATTATTTCTGTGTATGTTTTTCTTTCTTTACTCAAAAATAAGGAAACCGATAAAAATCGGTGTACATCAGAGATGTACCACTGCATCTGGTTGGTTTTAATTCTTAAAAACATATTTGCTGTTCACTGTTACCGAAGAAATTGAGCGCAGTTAAAAATATATAAATTCACTTACTCCTAAATTTACTATTTCATAGAAAAACTATTCATTTTAAATAAAAGCTCCGAATTACAAAATAGTAATATTACGATATTCCAGTGTTTCACATTTCAAAACAAAACTCATACAATATTTAACAATAAATAAATCCTGATTGCTGAAATATAGCTGACTCCGTGATTACCTTAACATGCTTCAAATATAACTTAGACGAGGCTTTGCTAATGTTTGACAGTTGTACATATTTCACATTAAATTAGCTTATGACTTGCTTACATTCGTAGCAGGTATAGTAATAGGCCTAAAGACGGTTTTATTTAACAAATGATTCTGCTATACTGTTCTGCTATACTATTGTATATGAATGTTCTAACTATACATTTATAATATATACTTTATTTAAATTGTTAATGGTAGGCTACGCTAACAAAATCCTGAAAGTCAAAACGCTAGACTATGAATCGGCGACCTTCTGAGGACATTATATTACATAATTAGTAGCCTATATAGCATATAATAATATATGTAATGAATGTAATCTATTAACAGTGTATTGTAAATTTGTAAGCGCCATAATATAGTAATGAGAATAAGATTTAATAAATTAATAAATTATTTCATAGTCCTTTTTAAAAAAAAACAATGTTCAAAA